GATGCAGGGCTGGTTCAATATACACAAGTCAATAAACGTCATTAATCATATAAATGGACTCAAAGACAAAAACCATATTGTATTTCAATAGATGCAGGAAAGGCTTTTGACAAAATTCAGCATGCAGTTACGTTCAAAGTCCTAGAGAGAATTGGACTGGAAGGTACATACTGCAACATAATTAAAGCTATATGCAACAAACTCACAGCCAACATCATTCTAAATGGTGAAAAACTGGAACATTCCCACTAAAATCGGGAACCAGACAAGGATGCCCACTATCTCCACTCCTTTTCAACATAGTGCTTTAAACCCTTGCTAAAGCAATAAGACAGGAGAAGGAAATTAAAGGACTACTAATTGGAAAAGAAGAAGTCAAACTATCACTTTTTGCAGATGATATGATACTATACCCAAGAGATCCCAAAAATTCCACCAGAAAAGTGCTAGAATGGATCAATACTTTCAGTATAGTGGCAGGTTATAAAATCAATCTACAAAAATAAGTAGCCTTTCTATATACCAATAACAAGCAATTGGAGAAAGAATACAGGGAAATGCTCCCATTCACAATAGCAAAAAAAAAAAAAAAATCTTGGAATAAATCTGACCAAAGACACCAAAGATCTCTACAACAAAAATTTTAAATCATTAAAGAAAGAGATTGAGGAAGACACCAGGAGATGGAAGGACCTCCTATGCTCACGAATTGGAAGAATTATTGTTGTATAAATGACCATCCTACCAAAAGCAAAATGTAGATTCAATGCAATCCCAATCAAAATCCCCATAATATACTTCACAGAATTAGAAAAAAACCATCCTTAAATTCATATGGAAGCACAAAAGACCCTGGATGGCCAAAGCAATCCTGAGCACAAAGAGCAATGATGGGGGGATTACTATACCAGATCTCAAAGTATACTACAGAGCCATAGTCTTAAAAAAAAAAACCAGCATGGTACTGGCACAAAAATAGACACATAGATCAATGGGACATCACTGAAGATCCAAACCTTAGAACAAGCAATTTCAATCACCTGATATTTGACAAAGGTGCCAAGAACACCCA